GCTGAGCCTTTCTTGAGCAGCCACCAATTTATGGAACTCTAAGGTTCATTACCGTGTTCACAAGAGCCTTCCAACGGTTCCTGTCCTGAACCAGATCAATCCAATCCATATCATCCCATCCTATCTCTCTAAGATCCATTTTAATATTGTCCACCCACCTAAGCCTTGGTCTTCCCGGTGGTCTCTTTCCTTCTGGCTTTCCCACCAATATTCTATACGCATTCCTCATCTCCCCCATTCGTGCTACATGTCCTGCCCACCTCATCCTCCTTGACTTGATCATTCTAATTATACTTGGAGAAGAGTACAAGTTATGAAGCTCCTCATTATGCAGGTTTCTCCAACCGCCTGTCACTTCAGCTCTCTTCGGTCCAAATATTCTCCTCAACACATCGTTCTCAAATACCCTCAGCACCAGTCACTATCCAAACATTTTACGGAACCCGAAGGTTCATTACCGTGTTCACAAGAGCCCTCCACTGGTCCTTATCCTGAGCCAGATCAATCCAGTCCATAGCACCCTATCCTATCTCTAACATAACACACTCTAGATATGGTTCCGATTTCTGGTAAATGCCTCGCAGCATATTTTAAATTACGTAAAATTTCAGTGTCCATCATAAAACATTATCAAGCAAGAATTTCATTACACAGGTTTTAAACTTTATAAACACGCGAAACGAAATGTTTCATATTCGGATGGCCTCTTACATGAATCAGGCACTGGCTATCACGAATGCGGTCTGTCGTTTTCCTTTCAGTTTCGAAAATAATTGAAAAAAGGGCGTTAAAAGAGGCTACAGTGAATCAAGCCCAAGCGAATAACATTTAAATCTTCACTTCCTACCTCACATGAACACAAGACATCATCATTATGAAGACGATTTCGTTAATGCTCTTTTACTAAGGACTCAAACACGCCGGATTTGGAAAACGTTAAAACGGGCGGTACAAGCAGAAAACACAGTGTTTTAAATGATTCATCAATCACAGTCAATCACTGTGTAATATAACGTGTAAAACTGAGGAACAAACACCGAACTTAAATATGTATGCAAAGCTTTCAATATTAACTGTACGCGTACAAACATTCCAAGACTTGACAAAAATGTCAGTAGATGAAACAACGTGTTGTGTGTACTATAACAATGGCATCTACTGTCTACAGTTCTGAAATGAATGCCGGTGTCCCAGCGCTACAGGGCCGGGCTAGACATCACGTAGAGGCAGACAGCATTGTCCACGCAGCAACACGAACCCAACACACGCTATTATAAACCGCAGCAACAGGACAAACACAACAAGATTAATCGACTGGTAAACGAGCGTGCGTAACCATTTATACAACTGCACCACGAGCTGACGTCCTCAATGATCAGATTTCTGGTTAAAAGTGTTACACTTCTTTTCATGGTCATTAATCAATACTTATAGTAATTAGAATAATAATAAACTGGACGGGATCAGACGGGAAGTGGTCGTGACCTAATTTTGGGTAATAACGGTGTCTGCTTTCTGAAAATGAAGAGCACCACGAAAAATCTGTCTGCAGGCCATGATTTGCGGGCCTCTCCAATACGACAGGGGGCACTATGCTACAAGCCGGAAGGTCGCGGGTTCAAGTCCCGATGAGGACATTGGATTTTTTTCAATTGACCTAATCCTTCCCGCCGCACTATGACCATGGGGTCGACTCAGCCTCTTTAACAGAAATGAGTACCAGGAATTAATTAAATAATTTTCCTGGTGAGTATAGCGCGGCCAGCGCGTAAGGCTGACAACCTTACCGCCATCTTTGAGCCGACTGTCTAGGTAATGTGGGACCCTCAACGTCTCACAGCCCTATGGGCCTTCACGGCCTGGTACAGGGATAGCTTTCTTTACTTACTTTTAGTCCAATACGATACAAACCACCCGACCACGGCGTTCGGTGGGTATTGTTACGTCGTGGGTTATTTAACAGCATTGTATCAAACATCTGAGGTTATACGCTGTGTAAATCATAATTCTGAAAGACGACTCTGGATGAATGACAAACATCTTCTTGCTGAACGTCAAGTTAAATTTCTTTTCAAGCCGGCAAAATATTCATGAAAACAGGAGCAAAATTAAGTTAAATGGTACTCTAGTCACTGGTATGTGTCACGGGTCACTATAAATACACTGTTAGTTCGCAAATGATAACACACGTGTTATTCTGACTTGTTTCAATTCATTATATTGTATAATATTGCCTCGAACAATTTGTTGCTTAGGTTTCCTAGCGTTCGAATTCCAAGGCGTTGCAGCGGGAACGCTGGTTTGCCTAGGAAATCAACTCTGATCTCAACCATTCCGGCTTTCGGGCGGCACGCCATAATATTATTTACTTAACGACGTGGTCAGTAACTGCAATTATAGGACGCTATATACCTGGATGGCACTAAACACTGAGCTGTACAGCTTGTGGGATGAATACGCCGTGGCCCACTTTAAGCTTATACGCCGAAATTTGGCAGATGGAACTGTGTAAGACTCCGAAAACCACCCACTCAGAATAATCGGTGTCCTTGCAGGGGTTCGAACCGTGACCCCGCTGGAATACAAACCGCAAGTCTTGCCGGTCGAACCATACTCTTCGATGTTTTAAATTCGTACAGGCTACTGCCACGTAAAGGCATCCAAGAATTTGTCACGGAAGTTCGTAACACTGTAGCATAAACGCATTAGTTACATAACCTCAGGGGCAGATACAGTATCGTCAGATAAGCTACGCTCATTTTAAAACTTGTTGGGCGTGTGTTGGCCACACGTTTGAAACGTTTCAGATAACGGATGAAGTTACATTTATAAAATAATAAATGGTTTGTATGTACATAAAACTGACCTCCGGAACTTTTACGAACGCCATTGGGTAATATGGGAGGGCAGAACAAAAAACATAAGAATATCGCAACATTCTTACGGTTAGATTTGACGTCGTCATCGGGTACGGACTGTGGACCGACCTTACTTCGGTTAATATGACGCAGAAACTTCCTGACGACAGGTCAATTTGCAACAGAAGGAAATTTTGTTAACAGATGCTCTCATGTATCATGCACACACTGGCGAATGGCGATTGTTGCTTTAATGATAACAGCGAGGCATGACAGACAGAAGGAGACGGTTAAGAATCCGAAAACAGCTCACAGGATGCGTAAGAACAAAAACTGGTCTTCGTTTCCTCTCTAGCTAAAACTAAAACTTCTTACTAAAGCATAAAGAGAACTTAGTTTCTACTAAGAGAAGTCTGAGACGCCAAGCCTCTTTTCGCACAACACAAAGCGAATTAAGTAAACTGCATTCTATTATCTCATTCAGTAGAATTTTGTTATTAAATAAAAACACCTAACTAGTCGAACATAAACTTTTTTTTTCAAACGCTGGAACATTCTGACAAATGGTCGAGCTCCGAATTTTGACTGGCAATACAAAGGTAAAGGCACAAGTCGTCCCTGTGCTTAATTAAGCATTACGTCATGAAGGCGTATGGGGGTGCGGATGTACAGATCCACGTTTCCTTGGCCTCTGCACTGGTTAGTTGTCAGCTTCAAGCACAGACCGTTTTACTCCCTGGGAAAGAGCACCCGGTACCCATTGGATAGGAGGCTGTGTAGGCCCCAGGGGAGGTCTGAACAACGAGGAGAAAATTCTTCACTCTACCGGGGCTCTTACCTCCAGTAGAGAGTTTTGATACAAATTCGGTTTATCGCAGTAACAACACAAATTTACCTAGTTCAACTGCTTATGAAATTTATGTTGTTCTCGACTTGTAGGCAAACGGTATGTACTTCGTTACATGTCTGCATTCACTTAAGAACTAAAATGATTCCAAAATAACGGAAACGTTAAATAAATGAACTGTCACATACACTGGGACAAGCCACTAACACGCAATGGGGCTAGGTTGATACGCCGGGCAAGAAGGTAGCCTAATGTTTTCTTTTTGCTTCTGTTATAATAATAATAATAATGAATGAATGGACGGATGAATGAATGAACCAACTTCCGTTACCTTGTAGTGGTCAGTACTATGCATTGTTAAGATATTCAGCTAACATGACATACAACATTAACATAATGTCACAATACAAAGCATGCTTCTCAGCTATAACATTCCACTACGTCTACACGTGATAAGAACGGTTGGTGTATAATGTGCTCTTTCATAAACCGCTTCACGGCCTTGTTTGTTTTACTACACCGTAAATAAATAGCTTACATGTTCTAGCAACTACTAATACGAGTCGCCAGAAGGACTATAGTTTCCAATAAAAACGTGTGGTTTAGCTTCAAATATAACAAGAGCAGTGCATTGTTGTAAGTTTCATACACAAGAACTAAAATTGCGTTCGTAATTTTCGAACGATATTCATCAAAATCTTTTAAAAAATAATGTAATGAAGCAGACAATACGTTACATGGTTGTAAAATACAAAGAAATTAATTATTTAAACTGAAGCTTTAGTAGGTTATGTTTCTCTACTGTCAGTATTGCATTAATTCAACAACCCCAACAAGTGAACAAACAAATCTAACCTCAGAATTACTGGTCCGGTATTCCCCAACAGGGTGGGTGTCTTGCCGCCCCCCCCCCTCACCTGAGGACGCAAAAATATCATATTTCCGAAACATTATCTTTTTTAGAATACTGGATGATGGACGAAGTCCAAAAACCCAGTAATCCTGAGTGTTACATACCTTTGTCAGAACCGTTTAGAATCTACCAAATTTAACCTCAACATATTTCTATTAGGTGAAATGACATTAAAAATGGCACAATGTCGATAACGTAATTTTCTGTCATCAATTTCAAATGGGGCAATAATGTGGGTACTTCGTTATTCGGGATACGAAAACAGAACGGCTATCATATGGGCTATGTCCTTTTTTTAACAGATTCTTATTGTTTATGGTATGTTTTCTTTGGTTAATTCTTTAGTTTCGACTTAAAATTCAGTGTTACACAAATCCCTTACCTGATTCAAAGCGACGATGATGATCATAACAACGGCGCCCTGAATGCGGGTTTGTAGTATCCACCTCATGACTGATTGTTGTTCCGATTGTTGCTGGCCGTCGCGTTGTATTGTACAGCCGCCTCTCCAGGGCCGCCTGCTTGGGCAAGCAGCAACCTTCGGAGGCGAAGATGCGAGCAATAGGGCTACTACCTCAGGGCGAACCTGAAAACAGGGTCCCCCATGACCCAACTCCAATCAGGGTTCCAATACCGTCCTCACACAAACACAACTACACTTCCGGAATATGCCAACAGGCCTTTTATAATCATCACACTTCTAATTTCTCTTTTGAATACTAAAGAATGATGGAAAACACAAAATGATCACAACACGTCAAAAACACTGAAAACACACAATCCAAAGGGTAACGGAGACATATAAATAACACACAAACCGATGTTAATAGAATAATAATAATAATACGTACTTGACTGAAACTGTTATCCCATATTCCACACACTTATAATTCTCTTTCCAACATGAAATCCCGGAAGAAAATTAATAACCCTCGTTTCATTTTGTTCGCCGAACATACAGTGTGAAAAAAGTAAACGAATCACGCGATTCCAAACAATTAATACGAATCTTAATAACTAGACAAGTAATCCCAGGTGATGATTATCCAAAGCATAATCACTGTACATTCCGACAGCTATTGTCTCGCGTGCGTGCTTCTCTTAAAAAAATATCAGAACTCGCCGCTCACAGCCGCTGCTCTCACAAACAACTTCACCACACACGAGATACCAGCAGACTACACCAAGTCGTCTCTTTGGCGTCCACAGTGCCACCAACACAAAACGCTCTCCTAACACCAGCACTATCTGGCGGCAAATCCCTGACAACGCCACTTTTCGACTGCACTGTTACTTCTGTAGCAACCGCCAGATGGCAGCACACTACTCGGAAACGGGAACAGCTAAACCTATGGTTATGTTTCCTCTGAGGCGTCTAGCCTGCAACTGAACTGCGGTGCTAAACGCAGACCGATACTTATAACATCTAGAAGACCAGCTGCATTATCGAGGGGACAGATGGCAGAGGGTCAGAAATAGGGAAGGAGGAGGGGCAAGGCCGGCTGCAATATGCACTTCACTTGCACTAGGAACCACTACGTCACTGGCACCCACAAACACCCCCCTCCCCCAAATATAAGAACACAAATACACTTTATCATTAATATAAAAGGGTCGGGGGTGATGTGTTTGGTTTTGACGTAATACTAAATACACGTCATCTGTGACGTCATGCAGACGCTAAGGACGCCTAATCCTAGGTCATGATTCCAGGTGTCACATTAGTAAAAATGTGTAACAAACATCACAACCACTGCTCGTGATTCACACGGCCAGCCCTACGGCTCTTCCTTTCTTGTTCATACATACATACGTGTATTTATACACATTTCGATATTGTTCGATTATATGCTCCTGCGTCTTCTAAGTCGAGACTCTCAAATTTCTTCAAAAATCGACTCAGAGATGTCGGTGAGGTTGTCAGCCATACGCGCAGGCCGGCCGCCCTTCATCCCCAGGAAAATGTCTGGTACTCATTTCTGTGAAAGGCTGAGCTGACCCCGGGCCATAGTGTGGCTGGAATGATAGCGTACTTTGGTTGAGGCACTATCCTACAAGCCGGAATGTCAGGGGTTCAATTCCTGACGAGGTCATAGGACTTTTCAATTGACTTAATCCTTCGAGACTGGTGTCGATTCAGCCTCTAACAGAAATGTGTACCAGAAATCTTCCTGGGGGTAAAGGGCGGCCGGCCGGCGTGTAAAGCTGACAACCTCACCGCCATCTCTGAGCCGATTGTTTAAAAAAAAATGTGGGAGCCTCACTGTCTCAGAAACCTATCGGCCTCCAAGGTCTGTCACAAGGGTGACCCTTTACTTTGACATCTTCCAAGTGAACTATTTGCTTGAGGATTTCAAACCAAAATTTTATAGGCGCATAAATAGCGACTCCTCTCTCAGGCGCTTAATTCTGTGGAACAGATCTGACAGACAGTGAGCTCAGATTGTATTTTATGTTTTCAACCTCCTGCGCCTTTTCTGAGAAAGACAGGTTTGAACGTGATTGGAGCAATTGTTTATTTTTGTGCTTTTTCCACGAAATTTAGAACCAAGATACATTGTGTCCGAGATAACCGAGTAACTTTCTGTGACAAGGTCTTTAGAGAAGTCAGTGAGATATGCTGTCGAAGTCAAGGTTCTCACAACGGTGACTAGGAAGAGCACTGGGATATGGCGCCATGTAGTCCTCACTAGTTCAGCATTTCGGAAGAACGTATTACCTCCATCCTCAGTACTGAAATGTAAGCCAAGAAAATTTTCTTTTGCTTACTGCTTGCGGCAGCATACGTATTCCTCCAGGACTGAATTCACTGTAAGACTGTGTAAGAAACACCAAGTACAAACATTTAATTAAAAATACTTAATTGCTAAAATTGCTAATCATCATTTGAGCTTTCGGTGAGCCGCATATTCTTGCTGATGGAGGGTCTTGCCTTGATGCTGATGGCTGCTGACTGATCAGGGTGGTGCTTGCTGAAGGTTGCGGTGTCTGTGAAAATTTCTTAACATAAGACAACAGGGAGTTTGCTGGATCGATTGACTCTTCCCTTCACGACAGATTTCTCTGTAGCATGCGATGTTGTTTGACAGCATCCTACCCATAATAGAATTTATTTCAAAACTGGAGCCAATCCTTTCAAACCCTACCGTTGCTTTATCAGAAGCCCTAGCTTTCGGCCTATCTCGGCTTTCGACATGCCTTCCTCACTGAACTTAATCATTTCTAGCTTTTGATTTAAACTGAGAAGCGTGTGGCCCTTCCTTTCATTGGCAGCCCAAAATAATTACAATAGTAAGATCAAAGATCACTGAGCACACATCACCATAACAGGTATAACAATACTCAAAAGATTTGAAATATTGTGAGAACTGTCAAAATGTGACACAGAGACGCGAAGTGAGCACACGCTGTGACAGAAATGGCGTCGATAGACTTGCTTGACACAGGGTTACCACAAAGAAAAAACGACAATACCTGCGAAGCGCAACAAGACGAGGTATGTCTGTATGGGTTACTTGTACCACGAATGGGGTGAAGAGGAATGCATATAGGATATTGGTCGGAAAGCCAGAAGGAAAGAGACTACTGGAAAGACCAAAGAGTAGGTGGGTGGACAATAATAAAATGGATCTTAGAGAGATAGGATGGGATGATATGAATTGGATTGATCTGGCTCAGGATATGGACCAGTGGAGGGCTCTTGTGAACACGGTAATGAAAGTTCGGGTTCCATAAAATACTGGGAAATTCTTGAGCAGCTGCAGATTTGGCGGCTCCTCAAGAAGGGCTCAGCTCCACAAGTAAGTAATGTCTGTACGAGTATATATCTTATCCTTCCTTCCTCAAGAATGAATATAGGTTCATGAGATCACCGTACTCTCTGTGTTTGTGGCTATCGCCTCGATTTACTCGTAAACTACCGAAACCTCTGACCATTTTTCACGAAATCGGTATGAATGTTGTGATACTAGAGACCACTCAAATCACGTAACGTCACATTTCCTACAATTATTAATAATACTGTAACGTGTTTTGCCACTGAAGACCCCGTTCGGATTGTTAATTGGTTTATTTAACAACCTAGAAGTCTTGGCTACAATTAATTACAACACTCTTGCGGGTTTCCACAGTTTAGAAACCCTATGCATATTCTATTCACTCTATCTTCAGTAGTCTATACGTATTTATAACGCGGGAGTTATACAAGTGCAACTTAATTGCTCACTCCCAATACCTTCTCAGTTATCACAAACTATCACTGATTATCATACACGTGTCCGGTTCTTCTTTCCGCGACGGCTGCTAGATTCAAACTGGCTTCGTAGGCAGTGTAGTTCTCTTATAAAACCTCAGCCGGACAACGGGAGAACGCCTTGCTTCCTTGTTGCCTAGTCCCGTGTTTATCGGTGTTACTGGGCAGCACTGTCTAGAGATGTAAGATTTGAGGCTTTCACGGCGGTGACTATGAAGAAAGCAGTCTTCTGTGATTTGGCACCGTGTATATGTGGTGTTAACCGACGTTTCGGAGGAACGTATCGCCTCCATCTTCAGGGTACAAGAAAAAATATAAGAAATCTGCAATCTCACGGTCTCTTCGCTTGCAGATTTCTTATATTTTTTCTTCTACCCTGAAGATGGAGGCGATACGTTCCTCCGAAACGTCGGTTAACACCACATATACACGGTGCCAAATCCCAGAAGACTGCTTTCTTCACTGTCTAGAGTTGTTTCCTGCTGTGCAGTAACCGCGGCATCCCTTAGTCACGTCGCCACGGGAGGGGCGCGGTGTTGACTGGCCTATTACCGTGGCAACGGTAACGCTCCGAAAGTGTTAGGTCACCTCTTTCGGGGTAGGGGAAGGAGTGTTTACTTGCCTGTTACTGTAGTAACGACAGCGCTCCGATGCCGCCACGTCACCGCTGGGAAGGGAGGGGGTGTCCTCCATAGCGCAACACGTCACAATACGAATGGAACGTGGGCCAAACACAAACTTCAGGGTCTTTAAATGACGTATATTTCACACATCGTAGAAAATATACAATTTCCGTTGTAGCAAGGTTACTGTCTTCTTAAACAGGACACCGTGTATTGTGGCAGTTGTTGAAGGAGCAGTTTCCTCCGAAATGAACTAAACTGTGTCACATACCAGAAGAAACTAAACGTAACCTTCGTTTCACCTCCACGAGACCTTTTAATATATCTCTTCTTAATGCAGTCTTCTGTAAGATAACATGGCGGCCTTGCGAAAATGTTATATAGGTTTCATGTTGAAAACGATTGAAGCAATGAAATTTATTTAAAATTTCATATAGAAATAGATCACACATTGGCATTAAATAAGCTGTGTGATTAAGTTATCTCTGTGCTTAACTAATTAAGCAATAAGCCATGAAGACGTATGGGGGAGTAGATGTATAGATCGACATTTTCTTGACCTTGATACTAGTTTAAGGTGAGCGGTCAGCTTCACACCCCGGCTGCTTTATCCCCGGGTAAAACAGCCCCTAGTACCCATTCGACAGGATGCTGTGTGGGCACCAGTACCGGTCTGGACGAAGTAGAAAAAAGAAATTTCTTGACCCTATTGTGACTGGAACTCCGACCTCTCGGTCGTCCAGCTCGTAGCCAGTCGCTATGCAGACTGATCTATTTCGACTCAGGCCCTGTACCCCCCGTGATGATTCTCAGTACTCATTTCTGTTATAGGCTGAGTCGACCACAGAGCCATAGTGCGGCTGGATGGATTAGTTCAATTGAAAGAATTACAATGCGCTCATCGGGAATTGAAGACGCGACCTTCAGTTATGTAGCACAGCACCTCAACTAACTATGCTACCGCACGCGGCCCCCTAAATAAATAAATTTCTGAATGTTATTCAGTCGTTTTCATGATTTGTGTGGCTTATTATAGGACATTTTCAGTATATCTGAATACACAGTGTCGACTGGTAGATTGGCTGATGTATTGTAAAGAATTTGGATAGGACAGTACCATTAGCCTGAAGTGACTCAGAAAAGACATGATGAACCTCAGGATGACTTTTGCCCTGGCCGGGAATCGAAGTGAGCGAATCTCGAACACGAGTCCAGAACGTTACCGTTACACTAACCTGCTCGGTGTCGCAGCGGGATGATCCTGAACTCGTGCGCTGTTTACCGTGAGGCGGCAATCACACACAGGCGCGCCATTGATACAGAATTTCCCCGTTTTTTTTTTATGTTTCCTTCCCATGAGTTTGATTATCTTCATGAGCTTCCGTCTCACATGCAGGGTGAGCTGTAAGGTAGCTACCGTAACCTTCCAGTCCTTCCGAGGAGGCACATCTCAGTCACTATACTGAC